CACACACACGCGCGCACACACACGCACGACACACACGCACGGCACACACACACACACACACACACACACACACACACACACACACACACACACACACACACACATAAACAAACAATCCAACAAACAGCCAGCAAACACAAACACACGCAGCCGAACGTGCGTGTCAAAACAACACGATCACTCACGCGTCACGGCGCGCCCGTCAACGTGACTGACACTCGCCCGTCGCTCCCTCTATATCTCCGTCTACGACTTTGCTCCGACCCAAGCCGATACGTCGTTGAGTTGCAGGTTTACTGTCCAGTAAATTGCGTTGAATAGAAGAAAGGTGATCGGAAAACCGAATCGCGAGTACTTGTCGATGTCGCTCGGTGACAGCACGGGTCTGGTGCAGCGTCGCTTCCGCTTCTGCGGCTCGGCAACTTCCGGGTCCTGACTGCCGTGAGGGTCAATGGATGCGTAGTTAGGGACGGATGACCGTCCCATCGGTGCCTGCACCAGATGCGTTCGGACGGAGTCGTTCTGCAAGCGAAAGGTACATATACGAACTTAGAAAGATTCCCTTATCAACGTTAGCAAATTGCCGGAGAGGGGCAGGGGCGAAAGAGAGGGGGGAGAAAACAGTAAGAAACAGAGTGAGAGAGAGATAAAACAAGAGACTGTGATAATATCAAGCCTGAGCCTGAAGGAGTAGAATGAGAGAAACGGTAAAAGAGAGATAGAGCGGGCGAGAGGGAGAGAAGAGGAGACAAGGGGAGGCAGAAAGAGAGAGAGAGAAGGAGAGAGAGCGAGAGAGAGAGAGAGAGAGAGAGAGAGAAAAAGAGAGAGAGAGAGAAAAAGAGAGAATAGATAGGAGAGATAGAGAGAAAGGCGATGAAGAGAGAGAGGCAGAAGATAGAGTAATGCGCCATGATGTTTAAGTTACGATTAATATACAAATATTTAATAAAACACACAAAATTTGAATCGTCTAATAGACACCTAGTCTTCAAGGTCGTAAGCACGAGGGGTGGACTACGTTCATAACTCGTTAGCAAGCGCAGGCGACTAAATTCTCAGTGGCTTTCAATCGACTAAATGTATGAAAGTTAGCCGATGCTGCGGTAAGGTGAGGCTGTTTGCGAGGAATTATGCGAGAAGATCTTATGACGCCAGACGAAGACAGGAATGAAATTTTTTAAACTTATTTTACATAATGTGATATACGGTAAGCTAATTTGGCAAGTTTATTACGTTAGAAATGCGCAATCTAGTACAGGCCACTGTCAGTGTCACTTACATTTACTTTCAATGAGCGAATGATCAAGCATCTTATAGGTGACGGCACTTTGAATAAAGATTATCACGGGTGAATTTCTTCGCGCTGAAGATCCTATAGCTATATACGGCACGCACGCACCGCACAGCTGACACACAGGTCCACAAAATGCACACACCACACCCACACACACAGCCACAACACACAGTCCCCCCACCGCACGCACTACACACAACGATCCACACACACACACCACACAGACACACATAATCACACACAGCACACACACCACACGACACACACACAACACACACACGAACACACACAACAAACAACAGCAACAACACATATATATATATATACTATATATATATATATATATATATATATATATACGCACGTACCCACGCACGGCCTACCTCGTTCGTTACTTGCAGGCCGTACTCTGCGCTCGCAAACGGGCCACGAGAGGGCGTGCTGTTGCACGACGGGTATTTGAGCTCGGCTTCCTCCTTGGCTCGCTTTGCTTGGTCGGCTGCGATTTTGCGCTGCCGCATGATATGCTTGGCGACGTAGCCGACAGCAGCGTACTCAACTAGCGACGCGAACACCATCAAGTAGCAGACTCCAAGGTAGATGTCGATACTCTTGATGTAGGACACCTGCGGACACACGCAGAGCGGGTAGCAGTGCGAGCGACAGACACGCAGTTACGCGCGCGCGCACGCGCACGCACGTGCATATACGCACACACGCATACACCCATACATAAACGCGCGCCAACACACACACCTACACAGAGCGAGAGAGGGAAGAAAGAGAGTGCGAGGGAGAGAAGTAGAGAGAGCGAGGGAGAGAGATAGAGAAAGAGAGAGATAGAAATAGAGCGAGAGAGAGTGAGCGCTAAAGAGAGGGGCGGGGGGGAGTAGAGAGAGGGGGTAGAGGCAGAGAAGTAGATAGAGAGATGTAGAGAGAGGTAGAGAAAGGTAGAGAGAGAGAATTGTAGATAGAGAGAGGGGGTAATAGAGAGAGAGAGAGAGAAAGAGAAGAGAGAGNGAGCGAGAGAGAGAGAGAGAGAGAGAGAGAAAGAGAGAGAGAGAGAGAAAGAGAGATAGATAGAGAGAGATAGAGAGAAAGCGATGAAGAGAGAGAGGGGCAGGAAGAGAGAGAATGCCGCCATGCGTTAAGTAAACGACTTAATATACAAATATTTTAATAAAAACACACAAAATTGAATCGCTAATAGACACTCTAGTTTCATCGTAAGCAAGTGGGAACTACGTTCTAACTCGTTTACAAGCAGCGAAATTCTCAAGTGGCTTTTCATCGGACTAAATTATGAAAGTTAGCCGATGCCCGGTTAAGGTGGAGCTTTTGCGAGGAAATTATGCGAAAGATCTTAATGAACGCCGACGGACAGGAATGAAATTTGTTTAAACTTATTTACATGTTAATTGATATACGGTAAGCTAATTTGCAAGTTATTACGTAGAAATGCGCATCTAAACAGGCCACTTCAGTGTCACTACATTTGACTTTCAATGAGCGAATGACAAGATCTTTATAGTGACGGCACTTTGAATAAAATATTCACGCTGAATTTCTTCGCCTAATCCCTATATATATACGCACGCACGCACACGCACACACACACACACACACACACACACACACACACACACACACACACACACGACGCACACACACACACACACACACACACACACACACACACACACACACACACACACACACACACACACACACACACAACAAACAACAGCAACAACACATATATATATATATATATATAAGTATATTATATAGTATATATATATACGCACGTAACCCACGCACGGCCTACCATCGTTCGTTACTTCAGGCCGTACTCTGCGCTCGCGAAACGGGTCCACGAGAGGCGTGCTGTGCATCACGGGGAATATTGAGCCTCGGCGTCTCTCCTTGGCTCGCTTTGCTGGTCGGCTGCGATTTGCGCGCCGCCATGATATGCTTGCGTACGTAGCCGACAGCACGTACTCAACTAGCGCGCGAACGACCATCCAAGTAGCAGACTCCCTAAGGTAATTGTCGAATACTTATGTAGGACACCTGCGGACACTACTGCAGAGCCGGGTAAGTCAGTGCGAGGCGCAGACACCGCAGTTACGCGCGCGCGCGCACGACGCACGCACGTGCATATACGCACACACGCCATACACGTCCATACATAAACGCGGCGCCAACCACACACACACTACACAAGACGCGAGCAGAAGGTTAGAAAGAGAGTGCGAGTGAGAGAAATAGAGAGAGCGTAGTGAGAGAGATAGAGCAAAGAGAGAGAATAGAAATAGAGCGAGAGCAGTGAGCGCTAAAAAGAGAGGGGGCGGGGGGGGGTAGTAGAGAAGGGGTAGAGCAGAGAAGTAATTAGGAATGTAAGAGCAGGTAAGAAAGGTAAAGAGAGAGATTGTAGATAGAGAAGGGGTAGATAGAGAGAGCGAGAGAGAAAGAGAAAGAGATGAAAGGAGGAAGAGAGAGAGAGCGAGAAAGAGGAAGAGTAGAGAGAGAAGAGAGAAGAAAGTAGATGGAGGAGAGAGAGAGAGAGAGAGAGAGAGAGGAGCAGAGAGAGAGAGAGAGAGAGAGAGAGAGAGGAGAGATAGCGGAAAGAAGAGATAGAGATAGAGAGAGAGAGAGAAAGTCGAAGAAAGAGCGCACGCGAGAGAGAGAGAGAGAGAGAGATAGAGGGGACGCGAGGGAATACAGACTGGAGTGATAGAGTTTTGATGACTATATACACGTGCGAGTACTCGCCGCTATTTACCCTGATGCAGTTAGCGAGCGAAATTTGCAGGTAAAGAATTTACTCGGTGGTTATGTGTGCACGATTACTGCGCACCGCCGCCCGAGTAAATCCTTTAGAGACAATTACGCCGTTGCATACACACATCAAATACGATGTGTCAATTAACGCTGGCGGATGATTTCAGACAATTCCTCGAGATGATAGGAGCGAAGCATCCCTATAGGGAAGATACAACAAACACATACAAACGGACACGCGCACGCACCCTCCCACGAAGACACAGACAGAGACACTTAAACGCAGGTCTTCGTAAATTGCTGCTATTTTTGTTTTGTCCTGTTTACCGTAGCTTACACTGTACAGGTATGTTTGCAAATTTGTGAGTAAACGGGTTCAGAAACGCACGAACGCATGGACACACGAAACGCACGCACGCTCGCACGCACGAACGAATGAACGAACGCACGCACGCACGCACGCACGCACGCACGCACGCACGCACGCAAGCACGCACGCACGCACGCAGGCACGGACGCACGCACGCTGGCACCCACGATACACATTCTCTTTCGCTTTGTTTTCATCATTTTCTTTTTATCTATCTATCTATCTATCTATCTATCTATCTACCTATCTATCTATCTATCTATCTATATATCTATCTATCTATCTATCTATCTATCTATCTATCTATCTATCTATCTATCTATCTATCTATCTAGTTCTCTCTTTCTCTGGCTCTCTCCCCCTCTCT